AATTGATTTTTAAGCAAAAGTACCTATGTTAAATGTCTCTTTCACTTGTCCCTATTGTCATAAAATTAGGAATAAAATGGGAATCTGACTACTGGCTGGCATATTGCAAAAACTATGGATGCCACATATTTAGTGGTTAATTTGTATATTCCGTATCTCCTCCTCTGCATTAGGTCCTCAAGAGTTTTCAGTTTTAACCCACCAGTTCTAATCTATAAGTAAAAAATGCAGAATTGGGATTATACTTCCAATTAGATAGTTGACTGCTTACACTGCCCCCCTAAACATTTGTTAGTTATGACATATTTTCAAAAGAGTAAACATGACTAAGGAAGTGACATAAAGTAAGTACAAAACATTTTATATAATAAATGATTGGAAGGTGATGCAGAGGAGGAGATATGTTGGATAAATGTAACATCTTGCTTCTCTCCAGGCAAGTTTTGCTGGCCCTTATTACAATTAACTACAAAACCATTAGGGTTTCATTTTATGCTCTTGGTAGCAGCAGTTTTTTATCATTATTTAAGAATAATCTTATTTTCTTGTCTTTAAGAAACCGTGATATTTATAATGGTTTTGATCTTATCAGGCAGGTAACTTTTTTAAAAATCATTTCTTAGGAACAAATATAATTTTCATCTCATACATTTTTCTTAGCCATTTCCTTAAATATATCTTCTTGAGTGTAATGAATGTGGTTCAGTACCTCCTGAGCTTTCTGGATATTAGCAGAGCAGCCTGGCATGTTGATTAAATGGGATGACCTGCCATACAGTGTAAAACTCCTCGATTTCTCTTAAACGTGAATTATTGTTACTTAATCAGAACTTATTTTCCAATGGAAGGAAAGATGCCATATGCATTTAACAAGAATAAATCACTACCAAGGAGAGGAAAGGAAAGGTGAAGAAATTAGAACATTTCTTATTTGATTAATTTATCACAACTTAAACTCAGTGCCCTTAGCACATAAGCTATTTTCAGGCAATTAAGAATTTTGGCAAGGGGGAACCTGGGTGGCTCAGTCCATTAAGTGTGGAGACTGCTTAAGACTCTCTCTCTGTCTCAGAAAAAAGAAAAAAAAAAAGAATTTTGGTGAGAATTATAAACTGTTTGGTTCCCAGAGTACCATTTAGACAGTATATTTCAAACTCTTTTACTTTAACTCACAGTAAATAAGGCATTTTACAGGTGATTGAGCATACTTCTACAAATATATATCTTGTATACATTAAATATACTTGCAACCCACCTTACTACATGCTGTGTACTCTGATATTTTCCATTTTATGCCATTTTAAAAACTATGTTGATTTCACAACTTTTCCATAGGTCATAAACAACTGTTTGAAAAACATTAATTGAGGAGATTCTTCTTTGAAGCTTTTAATAAATAGTTTCTTGATCATTTGTTCACTCACCAGAATATTATTTGCAAGGCAGTGTTTTAAGTGCTTGCTGTATACAAAGAGTTAGACATAAACCTTGCTTTTACAAGCAATTACTAGTGCTTATTTAAAGTCCAGTTAAAATAGACTGAAATACACATGCATGTGAATTTTTCATAATTTTCTGTCCTTTCTGGCTTCTGCTTTGGTACTGATTATTGCTAGATATATTTGTCAAGATTTTCTTGATTTGACCTTTTTATTTATCTATTTGTTCATAATCACCAGTCATAATCTGTTGGTGACATTATTACTGTTTCTATGGAAACAACATTCAGTGCCTCAAAAAGAAGCAAGAGCATTCAAATTTTTAAAGAAATTGAAGTTTGGTGGTGATAGTACAGAGAAGGCATCTGGCCAAGAGAAAACAAGAAGATAATTTAAATCAGGAGTAATGGTTTCACATTTTCTAATTTGAATAAAAGCCTTACTTTAACTGCTGTTATAAAAAATTCTAACTGATGCTAGTTATCTTTTCACTTCTAAATATCTATAATTGTATCTTTTATCTTTTTACTATTTTACTTCAGTGAAATCTCCCCCTACCCCATCAAATCTTTTTTAAAAATATGGTTCTGAGGGTGTTTCTTACATTACTTTTAGGTTATACTGATTTGATTCTGTTTTACAGTTCATACATTCAGGGGAAGAAGGCTTCACTAAAGAAAAAAAGGAACTTTAGATCATTCTTAAGAGTACAGCGTCTCCATTTCTCTCATTCCCTCACTTCCTCAGTGAGTGTATAACTTCCATTGAGATTCCTCAAAATATACCAGTGACTGTAGACTTAATGGAGATATCAAATTCTAATCATTTAAAAATACCACATACACTTCAACTTATTTTAATTCTCTCCCCATTAACCACTTAAATTCATGTTCATAAATAAGTACGTATTAAGTATTTTAGGTTTTTGATTAAGCAGTGTCCATTTACTCTCTATGTTCAGTGTGTTGAGAACTTATAAAATATAATGAGGGTTGGGGACAGAGGAATGTGTTCTTGCCCATGAATTATAGATGAAGGGGTTTCTAGATTTGAAGGAAGTTGACTAAGGAAGAGTTTTTAGTGAGGCATACAAATATGCTACCAATGAAAGATGATAGAAACTGGAATATACGATATAAAATTTCCCCAAATGATTTTAAATTGTAGCATTTATAGACATTCCAAATGTTGCCATGTTATTTCTATTGATTATCTTAGAATAATTTTTTGTCCTTTTTCTGCTAAGTATTGGTCTTTTCCATTATATATATATTTTTTGGCTTATAGGATAGTCAGTATGTGCATACATTCTTAGTTTGTGTGTATATAATATTTATTATTATCCTTCAAGTAATTCACAAATACCTTTTGGGCCTCTTATTATTGCTAAGACATTTGTCCTTTGTCAGTCCTTTTTAAATAGTATGTTTTGATTTTAAAAATATCTTTAAAAAATAGACAATTGTTTAGAGTAATTCCAGGTTTATAGTAAAATTGAGCAGAAAGTACAGAAAGTTCCCAGATACCCTCTGTCCCTGCACACACAGTCTCCTCTACCATCAACATCCTGCACCAGACTGGTGCATTTATTACAACTGATGAACCTACATTAACAAATTACTACAACCCAAACCATATTTTATATTAGGGTTAACCCTTTGGGTTGTACATTTTGAGTTTTGACAAATGTATGATATGCATCCATCATTATTGTATCATACAGAATAGTTTTACTTCCCTAAAAATCCGTGCTCCACCTATTCATCCCTCTGTCCTAACCCCTGACAACCATTGATCCTTTTCTTGTCTTCATAGTTTTACCTTTTCCCGAATGTCATATATTTGGAATTACACAGTATATAGCCCCTCAGATTGGCTTCTTTCACTTAGTATGCTTTTAATGTTCCTCTGTGTCTTTTCATGGCTTGATGAGTTCATTTCTTTTTAGTGCTGGATAATATTTTATTGTTTGGATGCTATTTGTCCATTCACCTATTGAAGAACATCTTGGTTGCTTCCAAGTTTGGACAATTATGAATAAAAGTGTTATAAACATCCATGTGCAGGTTTTTACATGGACATAAGTTTTCAACTCATTTGGAGTGCAATTGCCGGATCATACTGTGAGAATTGTTTAGCTTTGTAAGTAATCGCCAAACTGTCTTTCAAAGTGGGTATCCCATTCTGCATTCCCACCAGCAATGAATGGGAGTTCCTGTTGCTCCACATCCTTACCAGCTTTTGCTGTTGTCAGGGTTTTGCCTTTTCACCCTTCTAATAGGTGTGTAGTGGTGTCTCCTTCTTTTAACTTGCAATTCTCTAATGATATACGGTGATGAATGTTTTTTCATATATTTATTTGCCATCTATGTAACTTCTTTGTCATATATATGACTGCCAACTATGTAATTCTGAGGTGTCCAGATCTTTTGCCCATCTTTTTAATTGGTTGTTTTCTTGTTGTTGAGTTGCCCCAATTTATATATTGTGAAATGAATACTAAAAATATAGAAAACTTGACTAAAGAAGATACTTGAATGGCAAATAAGTACATGATGCTTAACATCATTAACCACAGGGAAATGCAAATTTGAAATCACAATGAGATACTACCACACATCCACTAGAATAGTTCAAGTAAAAAAGACTGACAATACCAGTCATTGGCAAGATTTGGAGAAATTGGGGGCACCTGGGTTGCTCAGTTGGTTGGGCGACTGCCTTCGGCTCAGGTCATGATCCTGGAGTCCCGGGATCGAGTCCCGCATCGGGCTCCCTGCTCAGCAGGGAGTCTGCTTCTCCCTCTGACCCTCTTCCCTCTCGTGCTCTCTGTCTCTCATTCTCTTTCTCTCAAATAAATAAATAAAATCTTTAAAAAAAAAAGATTTGGAGAAATTGGGACATTTTCTAGTGGGGATATAAAATGGTACAGCCATCAGGGAGAGGAGTTAGGCAGTTTCTTTAAAACTTAAGCCTACAGTTTCCATACAACCTAGCAACTTGGCTCCTAGTATCTACTCCTAAGAAATGAAAAACATTCAAACAAACACTGGTGCATGAGTTCTTATAGCAACGTTATTCATAATTATCAAAAACTGGAAACAATGCAAATGTCTGTCAACTAGCAAATGGATAAACAAAATATATTATGCCTCACAATGATTACTACTTACAATGAAAAGAAACAAACTACTGATAAATGCAACTACATGATGAACCTCAGAAACTTAATGCTAAGTTAAAAAGACACATTTTATGATTCCACTTATCTGAAATACAAGAAAAGGCAAATTATAAATATGGAAAGCAGATCAGTGGCTGCTTGCAATGAACTGGGGAAGCAGCGATTGACTGTAGGTGATCACAACAGAAACTTTTGGTATGATATAAGTGTTCTAATACTGGATTGTGGTGGTAGTTACACAATTGTATAAATTTGCTCAAACTCATTGTTTGAACTGTACACTTAAAATGTGTGAATTTTATGATATGTAAAGGTACCTCGACAGCTATTATAAACAAAAAATGTGTAGTAGTATGTTTTGTTCTCTGCATGCCTAGGTAATTATCTGCAAGAAACTTTCTGAAAAGCTGATGGAATTTCCACTGCTGGCTGCTTGGTACCAGAGGATTCAGGAAGTGCCAAGAGTAAAAACAGCAGCTTCTCAGTGTGGGATCCAGTTTCTCCATTTACCAGAGTTGCTGACCACCTCAAATGAACAAGATTCAAACTTAAGTGAGATTCCAGGTGTAGAGGAGCAAAATGATGCTTCATTTATAGGAGGACCAAGACCCACTATGACCAAGTTAATGGTACTTAAAATGTTTTTCTTAAAATTTTCTTTGAAAAATTCCACGTGATAATGTTGCTGAGCATTCTACCCCAACTTGCAATCATTTATTCACATTACTTTTGTTTTAAATTTTATTTGTAACTATTTTATATCACCCTTACCCAGTTAATATTTCTATGTCTTTTGCATATAAATGAGATATAGTAAATTGAAGATTTTTATTAGTATGTGTCTTTGGAGCCAAGTAAGTCAGAATATGTATTTTTTAAAAAGTATTTTTCTCAAAACTTTTTTTTTTTAATATTCAAGACATTGGCCAAGGTCATATCACATCTGGTCAAATGTATTGTTTTAACCTGACATTTTTCTGTTGCAAGGTTTTGCTCTCAGTTTTTAAATTTTGAGATGATTTGAAGTTAAAGAATATGAAAATGAATATCTCAATTTACTTTCCAAGGTTTTGTCTAAATTTAAGATGTTTTAGTTCTTTGAATTTTGTTTTTACTTTTTCATTTTAATGCCTTTTTATAAAACAGATATTTCTTTTTTTCTCTTTGCAGCAAAATTTGTTTCTAATAGTACTTATTGTAGAAATTTTCCCAATAGGCTTTATTTTCTCTATCATTCTAAACAATTTACAAAAATGTTTTGCTTTTAACTTCAACTATTTGAAGATTTATTTGAATAGAGGAAAAATCAGGAAGTAATTTGAGCTATTCATCTGAGTCGTACTGGAAAGATATTCATTATATTTCCCCACTTGGGTTAGGAAGCATTTGAGTTTTTTGGTTAACAGAAAGTTTGCTGAATTAGAAAAGCACAAGATTTTAGAAGTGACATCAGCCCCTTATCTCATCAGTTAGGCTTTGTTAACCTAGTGATGAAACAATGAAATAGGATTTTATAGTTGATTTTAGAAGGTATCAAGGCATGTCCAAAGTTTGATGTGTCTTGATCAGATGACTATACTGTGCAGGGATCTCAGTTTTACCTCTTGAGTTTTTTAAAATAAATAATCATCAATAATTTGCTTTGCATTAAAATACTAATTTTCAAAATTTCAACAAACCAAAAATCTGCTTTTAATTCGTACTTACACAGTCTTAAAGAAAATTGGTAATTCAGATTTTTCTACCTATGTTTTTCTAGCAATAAAATGACATTAGGAAAAACATTTGTATTTTTTCCTATTCTGTATTTCCTATTCCTGTATTCTGTATTTTATGCATATTAAAAATATCTATAAACAATGAGAAATAAATAACAAATTTAAATTCAGGAAAAGTTAACAAATAATTGTAAAAAATAAGCTGTCTTATAATAACATAAAAAATAAAAAGGAAAAAAAATAAAAAGGAATCCTGAATTTTTAATTTATAGGGGGTGTGTTAGTTCAGGTCCCCCAAGCAGACAAAGATGGGTTAGATGTGCAAGAGTTCTACTGAGGGAAATCTGTGAGGTAAAGTGGGGAGGGAGATGGAGGAGGCTGGGAGAGCCTTCAGTCTATGATGCAGGTTTGACCCTTGTGCATGAGACAGGGAAGGAAGGACAATTGGGTTAGAAAAGCTTTAGACTTCACTGCAGGTCTAAGAAAGTTTTGGCAAGCCAGTGGGGAATCCTTGAACCCAAATCATCTGTCAGAGAGTTCCATGTTTCTCAGGAATAGGCCTGCCATGTTATCTCAGCCACTCTCAGGCATTGGCTTGGGAGCAGCCCATGGTAAGACTAGTAGGGACCAGGTGACTGGGATTCTAGTCCCAGAGTTGAGGCTAAGCTAACATTGTGACCTTTAGTATGTTGTTTAACCAAAGGATCTTAACTTCTCCATTTATAAATTAGGAGAGTATAGTAGATATTCTGTAGGATTCTTTTCTGATTTCAAAACTTATGGTTATATAAAAAAATGACTGGGACATTACATCGACAAAAAAAAAAGGCTCAAATCTGAAAATAAGTTAAAATTTCTATTTCATTTAATTCTAACTTGAAAGTATATATTAGATACAATAAATGTTCCTTTTTAGCAGGACATTGTTTTTGCTACTTACTAGTGAATTATTGACATATGTTTTGAAAACTAGTAAATATTATATCAAAATAATAAATTATGTGAATGTATGACAGTAACTATTAATTTTTGTGTAGTCACAGTATTTTGTGCCAATTAGTTAAGGACAAATGAAATTGGTGCCAAGTGGAAGTATAAAATAGTAAAGTATTTCTTACAAACACTCACATCTCACTTTTTTTTCCCCTTTTGTTTTCTTTGGCATATTCTTGCCTCCAAAATTTCCCTTATTCTCCAAAGGTTTTAAATTTATTTATTTAGTCAGTTAGTCCAAAAAATGTATATGTTTAGTCATTGTTTTGAATGTGGGATATATGAAGAACAAATTGGACTGCCTTCATGAGCCTTATATTCTCGTGGGGGAGGTAAATAAAAAACACAAATGTGTTAACACAATAGGTAATGATAAGTGCCACAAAAAAGTAATGTGGGATAAGGGGGTGGAGGTTATGTGAGTTGGAATCCTTTTTAGATAGAGCGGTCAGGGAGGCTTATCTGACCAGGTGAAGACATTGAGCAAATGACCTGAATGAACTGAAGATTTGGAGGAAGTGTTCTAGGCAGAGGGTCCAGCGAGTGAATAGACCCTGAGCAAGTCTATAGGGGCAGAAGGTAGATTAGTAGTTACCTAAGGCAAGGAGCTGAGGGGGGGAAATAGAGAGTATTTACTAATGGATATGGGACTTCTTTTTGAGATGATGAAAATATTCTCAAATTAGTGTTGATTATGGTGCAACTGTGAATATTATAAAAAACATTGAATTGTATGCTTTAAACGTAATGGTGTGTGAGTGACATCTCATATAGTATTTTTGAAGAGACCCTAAGGTGGGATTAAATTTGGTGAAATGAGGGAGAGCAAGTTTAGTATGGCTGGTCTAGAATAAGGGGGAAGATGTTTATTTTTCTGGAAGTGCTGGAAGTTTCTGGAGTAAGTGCTCTAGACCTCTAGACATGAAGATGTCTCTACCTCAACAAAGAATCTTCATAGTATTTCCTTTGGAACCAGAATTCAGCTAGTTTTCATAATTTAAAGCTAGTTTTCATAATTTCATAATTCATAAAACTAGCTGAACCAGAATTCAGCTAGTTTTCATAATTTCATAATTTCATGAACTAATTGATTCAAATTAGTGATAGATTCTCAGAGATTTTTCTTTTGAATATGATATTTCTAAAGATAAAACCCTGGACCCTGGATATCTATCCTGTGGACTATGTACTCAGAAAGTGATTGCAAGGGGTCTGAAAATCCATATTTATGCCACACAACTGTCTGCAGATCAAATAAATAAATGTGTAACTTTTGACATGGGGAAGGAGCTTGAGAATTTTTTTATGTATTGAAAAGTGGTCCTCAGTTTTGAAAATGTTGGGAACCATTTGGTTACAACAGAGGAATCCTTTTTTAGAGGCATTACAAGCCTTTGTGGTATGGATGATGTTTTGGGGGTGTTATGTTGAAGTGGGGCTTTTTGTCCTGTAAATATAACTCGTAGGCTGTGTAGCTATTTTCATATATGTAAAGACAGATTTTGATGGATATGCAGAATCAGTTTTTCTTTTTTTATCCCTGTGTGGAATGTTTTTGATAAAATTTTTATCTTCAGGTGACTTTTCTTTTTGACATCCAATTGATTTCTAAGTATAAGAATATTTATTTCTATGTAGTTTTAGGCAATAATTTAAAAATAGCATTTTTTTGTTATCTCGGTATAAAAAAAGGAAAGTAACTGTTCTATCAAAAAACACATTGTATTTCTTATGTAACTAAATATTTTGAGGAACATCTAATGATCATTACTATTTATGCTCCTTCTTGACACTATAGAAAAGAAAATTTGCCATATAATACCTAGATATCTTTTTTTTGTTGTTTGATTTTTTCCCTGAAGGGAGCACTCTTTCAAATACATCAACTACATGACTAGCCCAAGGCCACATAGCAAGTTGGTCTCTGGGGACAATCTTCTCATCTGTGGAAGGGCACTTCTGTGAGATAAATTCACTGACTCCAAAACCTGTATGAGTTTATGACTGAAAATGGATTCCTCAAATTAAAGATTGTGTGGTCCCATCCAAACACTTACTTCATTCTGTTTTACAGGTTGTGAGTGATTTCAGCTTTTAAACAATTACCTAACAATTGTCCTAATGAGAATAAATTTGCATTGGTACCAAAAAAAAAAAAAAAAAAGAAAACAAAAGAGAAATTTGGCCTTCTAAACCATAACAGGATTTTATTAATTCATTAATTTGGAAAGAGTCTATTTCCTATTTCCTATTTCTAGGAAAAAGGCATTGAAGTGATGTTTTCTCCCCACCCTTGCCCTACTTGGACTCTTGATTGGAATAGTCTTCCTGCAGCAGTGAGCCCAAAGGAAGGTGAGTTGTTTTTTTTTTCCTTTTTTTTCCTCCTTTAAGTTTTAATCATAATCTAGATACCCTCTTCAGATCCATCTTTCAATTCTCTAATTCTCTCTTTGGCTTTATCTAATATTTTGATTGTACTATCCATTGAGTTTTCTTTCCCCTCCCCAATTATTTCTTTTTTTAAAAGTTTTTATTTTAATTCCAGCTGGTTATACAGTGTTATATTACAATATAGTAATTCAACACTTCCATTCATCACCCTGTGCTCATCACTACAAGTGTAGTCCTTAATCCCCATCACCTATTTAACCCAGCCCCCAACCCACCTCCCCTCTGGTAACCATCAGTTCTCTATAATTAAGAATCTATTTCTTGATTTGTCTCTCTCTCTTTCTCTCATTTTTTCCCTTTTGCATGTTTGTTTTGTTTCTTAAATTTCCCATATGAGTGAAGTTTTCCTTTTATTTTTATTATAAAAATTTCACATATACACATATACACATTGCTCAGATTCAACATTTCTTACATTTTCCTACATTTGCTTATTCCTTTTCCTTTCTTTTGAAGTATTTTGAAGGAAATTCCAGATAACATGCCATACTATAGTACATACATCTAAGAAATACAGCCATTCTAAATAATTGCCATGTCATTAGCACACCTAATAAAAATTAACAAAAATTCTTTGATCCTTTAATAACCAGTACATAATCGTTTTCCCCTAATTGTTTAAAGTATTGTTTGAAAAAAATATTTTAATAGTTAGGTTTTTAGTTATATAATTATATCTTTCATTGCTAGAAACTATATTTTGGTTGTTTGTTTTTATAATGACCTTTTCCTTGCTTGTGTTTCAATTTCTTCTTTTCATAATTTTTTTAAGCATAGTTATTTTATATTCTGTGTCTGTTATATGATAGCTGATGTCCATAGAGATCTAATTTTGGTGTTTTTTTTTTTTTCCTGTTGACTTCATTCTTGCTGTCTTTTTTCCCTATTAGTTTTGTAATTATATATTTTGAATTCATTTAGGGGCTACTTAAATCTGTGGGAATCTTGTGGGGCCTGGGTTAGAAGTAAATTTCAATAGAAAGGATTTATATTTGCTTATGCCAGGCATCTTGAAGTACTAGATCTTAAGATCAGTTAACGTTATGTTTTCAGCTTGAGATTCCTTTAACCTTTTCATTTGAAGCTGAGGTTTAAACAGAGAAGTTACCTTTTATCATCTCCTTTGCTACTGAGTAGGACTTTTTTATTGTAATGCATCTTTTCATGGGGGAATATAGCTTTTCAAGGTTTCTACTTTCATGTAGTGATAATAGTTCCAGGTTTCCACAATGCTAGGGATCCAGGACTAGCCTCTCTTCTTTGTCTTTCTATTAAAGCTCAGATCCCTATTAGCAAATACTCTCCTGGCAGCTGGTGTCAGTTCAAGATTATTACACTACTTTTTAGTTCCTTTCCCCTTTGTTAAGGCCCTATGGAGTTCCCTTACTCTCAGAAATCCATTGAGACAGGCAAAGGATGATTGTTGAGTTTTATATAGCATTTTAGGTGTTTTTAGGTGGAGAACATTTTCATTACTCAATGTTCCACTTCCTTAATTGTTCACTTATTCTTTAGTTTTATACCAAGCCAAATATATCTTTTGGTTTCCAAATGCTCTTTGAAATTGTTTGCCTGCCTTTGTCATGTTCTTCTCCTCTGTATGCTTCCTAAGTATTGTCTATATCTCACTAATCAATTCTAGTCTGTCAATCAAGGAAATAATTTAGGATTTTTCCAGAATGGAATAAGATTTTCATTGGGCAATTAAGAACTGTACCTCACAGATGTTTTATAAAAATTAAATTCATTTTTTGGTCTTTGTTAAATATATGAAACATAGTCACTAATGAATTTGTTAATGTTTAATTTTAAATATTTTCTGATATTTTGAAAATTTTAAGTGTTTGTTTTTATTGTCCTTGCAATTGGATTGTTTTGTGTACTCTGGTTATGGCACATTTTGGACAGGTTAAAACTATAGTAAATGAAAATCAGATTTTCATTAATATTTATATTTACAAGAAATTAGTACAAAGATTTGTAAGTGCCACATGTTTTGCCTTACTCATAATTAATTTACTATGAAGCCAAAATAATATTTTCATTTATTAATTGAGCAATCAATTACATCTGCTTCCAACTCAGAGATCTAACATTAAGCATTCATGTCTGGTCGTTTTACTGGCTAGAACTGCATATCTAACAGAGTTCATGGAATATATTACTCATTATATCTCTTTAATTGGATCACCTAGTTTTCATAAATATTATGACAAACAAGGAGCTATAACAGCAGAGCTACATGATTTATTTACATTTCATTCTCTGTTCTTAAAAGGTTTATATAGTCTGTGTTAAACTAAGGCAGAATTGTTGCATTTTAGATGTTCTGTTTTCAGTGCTGGCAATTTCAATATTGCACAGTAATAGGATCACTGTGAAATAAAATTATTATACATACGGGTGTGGAGGTCACTGTGAAAGTGTTCTCATGATTTGTGTTCTGGTATTTTTAGAAGAGATTGAATTGTAATAAGATTTTATTGGTACTAGGTTCATTTGGATGTCACAAAGGCTGACTCCTTATTTGGAAGCCATTGAGTTACTTCAAGATTATGGCCCATATAATAAGAATCATTCTCTTTACTAACAAAGGCTATATTGATCCTCACAATGGAGGCTTATTTCTTAAGCTTGTCTAATCTCCCAACCTCTGTTATTACCCATTTCTCTCCCCACATCCTATATACTATTCCCTGAACTTTTCAAATTCCCTCATATGATCTATAACTATTATTTCCATGCCTTCACTTTTATTTTGCCTCCAGCCTTAAATATTCTTCTTTCCACTTCCCATCCTAAAATTACACCCATCTCTTAAAGATCAGCTCAAATGCTGCTTCTTCATTAAGCCTTCTGCATGTGCTATGGAGTCAGGCTGCCTGTGTTTCATACCTGGACTACTATACTAACTGCTAGAAAATCTATGGCCAGATTCTCAATTTCTCTGTGCCTCAATTGCCTCATCTGTAAAATGGGGATAAAATAGTATACACCTTAATGAGGTTGTTGGTACATTCAATGAATTAATATATAAAGTACTTAGTACAATATATCAGACAGAATTAGTCACTTGCTCTCAGCATTCCTTAGTACTTTCTTATACTTCATTTTTGGTACTTACGGTATGCTTCTCTTCCACTATAATTACTTATATGCATGTTTTCCTTTTCTAGTGGACTGTGAGCTCTTTGAGTATAGAATAGGTACATAATAATTTTTTTATTAAATTCATTTGAATTGAGACTATAGATCCTTTTAGTTAAATTTCCAAATTTCTGCTTAAACCAGCAACTTTGAATTCTTTTGTCTCATATAGATTTAATTTACATCATCTTTATTACTATTATTACTACTACTACTATTCTATTCTTTTTTTTTTTTTAAAGATTTTATTTATTTATTCATGAGAGACAGAGGAGGAGAGAGAGAGAGGGAGAGAGAGAGAGAGAGAGAAGCAGAGGGAGAAGCAGGCTCCCAAGGAGCAGGGAGCCCGATGCGGGACTCGATCCCAGGACCCTGGGATCATGACCTGAGCCAAAGGCAGACGCTTAACCATCTGAGCCACCCAGGCGCCCTACTACTATTCTATTCTATTCTATTTTTATGGACTGTTTGGGAATAAGTTGCAAACATTGTGCTACTTCACCTCCAAGAACTAAACTGTCCGCTTTATGAACAAAGGCACTTCCTTAGTTCTTTTCTCTTAGCCATTTTGTAAAGTTATCAAAACAGGCTCTGTGATTCACTATGAACTATTATCTAATCTGCAGTCCAGTTGATTGTAGTACATGTAATTGTCATGTCACTTTAGTCTCCTTTCATGTGAAATAGTTTCTTAGCCTTTCTTTATCTTTCAACATGGACTGTTTTGAAGAATTCAGGCCAGTTTTTTGTCAAACGTTTCTCAATTTCAATTTGTCTCATTTCCTCATCCTTCAATTCAGATTATGCATTTTGGCAGGAATACCACCTAAATGAAGCTGTGGCCTTCTCAGTGTATTATAGCAGAAGGCACATTACATCAGTTTGGGCCCAGTGATGTTAACTTTAATCATTTGATTAAGGTGGTATCTACCAGGTATCTCTACTGTAATGTTACTGTTTTGCTCTGTTGAATTAATAAGTATTTTGTGGGGAGATATTTGAGACTACATAATGTCTTGTTTTCAAAATTTCACTCACTAGTTTACATTCATTTGATGCTTCTTGCCTGTGATAGTTACAGAATGGTGACTTTTCAGCTCCATCAGTCTTCTATATGTATTAGTTGCCATGCTAATGTAAGAACGTTTTTCCCATCTATCATCTATGTATCTCTTCTCAGTATTGACTCAGGAATTATTTTATTAAATAAGTTATAATCCATCACTGTTGTTATTTATTTCAGTACTCAAGTTGTCCCAGGTTGTGAGTCTCTTCAAGCTGGCTCCTGATCCTTTGGAAATGGCCTTATCATTCTATGACCACTTCCTTAAATTCTAGAGAAAAAAACTATTACAGGCTCATTTTTTCATTTCCCTGCCTCAGTTCTAGAGTCAGCTGTTTCTCCAAGGAACTCTGGTTCCCTTTAGTAGAGATTAGCATTTAGAAACTAAAATTTGGGCACGAGGTGTGCTTATTGCTAATGGAGTGTTATTGCTTTTAGCTCCTCTCAGTAGAGAGCTGTGCATATAGATAGATCTATGAGAAATAGATGTATGTACACACACATGTATATAATCACATCACTGTCTACTGCTCTATTTGTATATCTCTGTTACACGTCTGTATTAAAAAATGGTGAGATGGGCGCCTGGGTGGCTCAGTCAGTTAAGCATCTGCCTTCAGCTCAGGTCATGATCCCAGGGTCCTAGGATTGAGCTCTGCATCGGGCTCCCTGCTCAGCAGGGGTCTGCTTC